ACACACACACACACACACACAGACACACACACACACACACACACACACACACACACACATAAATCCAGTCAAAACACAGTCAGCCACAACTTTATGAATCATAATAGTAAAGTCTGATTCAGTGACTGTGATTGTGTGTGTGTGTGTGTGTGTGTGTGTGTGTGTGTGTGTGTGTGTGTGTAGGTCTTCTGAAGGTCACCTACCTGTAGGGGTCGTTGGGGTCCTTAGAGTTGCAGGCCTCAGCGTGTCCGTTACACACACAGCGTCCTCCGATGCTGATGTCTTTGATGCTGTAGTAATACTGAACAACACATTTGCATTTGAAACGTTGGACTTCAGGGATCATTCAACATTTTTGGAAAAATAAAAACTTCACATGAGACCTGAAGAGCAAAAGTGAACATGGAGCCATGAGCGACTCGACGGCCGAGAGCTGAAGCTCGTTACTTAACACGCAGCATCTTTCTTACTCGTGGATGTAGAAGGATCAAGTGTTGATGCTAAGCTAGGCTACACACTGCCGTTCTTAAGTGTCGTAACTTTCCCCTTTATTCTAGTTGAAGTTCTGGTTATGTTTAAAAAATCTGAATCTGTGACTCGACTCATTCACAACATGAACCTGTTTGTTTTATTTCTGCAGTTGTAGAAAAAGAGGCGTCTACATTATAAATAAAACAAAAAGGTTTTTAGTGGAAAATGTTGATCGGGAGTTAAACATAATGAATTTAAATCAGAAAATAAACAACACATCAATGAAAAGTGTGCAAATAATAGAGTAATAGTTCATGTGATCATCGGCTGGAAGGGTTTTCTCTCACCCTGCGGGTGACAGTGGGGTCACGGAGAGCTTTGCCCATCAGGTGTCCCAGCAGCGTGTTGGTTCTCAGGAAGCGGAGTCGGATGTTTGTGGCCTTGGTGAACTCCCTCAGCACCGGAGAGTAGGAGAAGTTCATGGCGCCGGGACGACCGTTCACCAAGGACACCACGATCTGAGGAGAGGAGGACGTTATCAGCTGCCGGACAGATGTGGGACCAGAAACATTACAGCCTGGGAAAGTCCAGTGAGAGTCGGAGCCATGATAACGAACCAATCAGGCAGAAAAGATTCACGATATCAACACACA